AATGGGGGTGTGCTGGGCGGTTCGAGAGACACAGACAGAAGACACGGAGGGAGACGAGTGAAGCATCGAAGAGATATGTGAATTCAGGTCTCGGAACGTCAACAAGATATTGAGCAAAGTCCAAAAAGAGGAAAAATGAATAAAAATGATAACCTGAACATGATAAGCTGTCCACTGTAGTGACCGTCGTCCCTGTAAGGGTTTAATATATTAATATGTTTGAGTCTGGGGTACATATGTATTTCGAACGTGGTGACCATGCTGATTATTGAAACCATGTATTTTATAAGCGCTTCAAAACTCTACACATCGAAGTCGAAATAGCCGTCGGATGAATACAAAGACAAACGACACACAATTGGACTTACGTGGTCCCCACACCACCTTCAAAATCTTTCAGCGTCTTCTTAGGAGAGAGGAAGTCGTCGTCTTGATCCTTGAAATCATCAAGCTTCAAATAGCGCGCTCCGTCCATTCCGAGCAACTCGTCGCCTGTCGAAATCAAGTTTTTCACAAGTATTGCAATTATCATTAAAAAAAGATAAAAACAAAGAACATAGAACACAAACAATCGAGACATACGAACAACAGGAGAAATTAAGAAACAGAGTACGTTCTGTAATTGACACTTTGTTTCTCCCTGTAAGTTCTGACATTTTCCTGGTATTCCTCCTTGCTCTACATTTCCTCATTTAATGCTGCTCTGTCTGCTTTGGGGACTGGTCGCATTTTGAAGATCAAAACTTCCTGCCTTGTGACGAAACAGGTTTAATTCGCAGATTCACAACAGTGGATGGAGATATCGTTACGTGTGTGCGGTATGCTGTTTGGTGATGTCCAATCCACCACATACCAAAGGAGCAGTAAGAAGACACTTTTCTCAAATTAAAAAAAAAAAATCGCGATGAATATTAAATTGCAAAAAAATGAAGATGTGCGTGCCGATCTTGCGAGGTGTTTTTGACATACCTGATCGAGAAGAACGGTTTCCGGCGACACGCAAGGGATCCTGGGAATGGCGGGAGAGTAGGGCCTGTGGCGAGAGAAAATGATGACAAGTTAACAACCTAACTCAACTTTAGTGCGGACAAGGAATAAGACTATCAGATGCACAATTTCTTGGCAAATACATTTTTTTGTTTCGCGTTTGTTCGAGAAAACTGAACTGAGAACTACAGTGGGCGAAATCCACAATTTTTTTTTCATTTTTAAAGTTAGAAGTGACTATAGTAAAGATGAATACTGGTTTTAATCAAGGATCAATTCTAATTTTGATATTTTTGGGGAAGGCCAAATAAAAGCACTTTCCTTAATGTATGAGTGCTCTCTCATTACTCTACTGCAAAATGAAAAGGATTGGAGCCAGCTCCAGTGTCTACTGTTTTCCCAGTGTTATTATAATACGTACAATATATACATACAGTATATTTTAACCCTTTCAAGCACCAATAATGATAACCTGAACATGATAAGCTGTCCACTGTAGTGACCGTCGTCCCTGTAAGGGTTTAATATATTAATATGTTTGAGTCTGGGGTACATATGTATTTCGAACGTGGTGACCATGCTGATTATTGAAACCATGTATTTTATAAGCGCTTCAAAACTCTACACATCGAAGTCGAAATAGCCGTCGGATGAATACAAAGACAAACGACACACAATTGGACTTACGTGGTCCCCACAACGCCTTCAAAATCTTTCAGCGTCTTCTTAGGAGAGAGGAAGTCGTCGTCTTGATCCTTGAAATCATCAAGCTTCAAATAGCGCGCTCCGTCCATTCCGAGCAACTCGTCGCCTGTCGAAATCAAGTTTTTCACAAGTATTGCAATTATCATTAAAAAAAAAGATAAAAACAAAAACAAAAGAACATAGAACACAAACAATCAAGACATACGAACAACAGCAGAAATTAAGAAACAGAGTACGTTCTTTCATTGACACCGAATGAGCTGCTCGGGAACAAAGATGAACCAAATTATTTCAAAGAGAAGAGAGCTATTAAAAAAACAAAACAAAAAACATAATCACACAAACACAGTTAAAAAAAATGAAGCTGGATGACCAGAACGCAATTCCATTTTTGAGATTCCTTCGAGCAGAAAGACGACAGCGTAAACAACGACAGTGCATGCCGTTTTCAGGAATGTGTCGGCAAATGTTGAATTAGCTGGTTGATCAATTAGGTTGTCACTGACACGGACTGCACTGAACAAACAGCTGATTTGGAAGGAAACTAGAGATTCTGTCAGGTTAATGAGCCCCCCCGCCCCGAATAGAAGTGTGTCAAACGCTCGTTTAAGGAAACTGCTGTGACTACATGCTGATGGAAAAACAGGACATTTTCCTTTCTAAATAAATCTCGAAGCAAAAGAGATAAAGCGTGAGGGAATAAAAATAGAGCGGAACAATCATGGCTGAAGTCGAGTCAAGAGGAACTGATCAGAAAGACACGAAGTGATGCACAGAGAAAATGAGTGTTGCGACACCGCGATGAAGCCACATGGTTCACGAGCCACCGGAACGCACAAAGCAGAGACACACACAATCCTACCTAACGTTAGCTGGGCGACCCCTACACGAAAAGAAACAAAAAGTGGGAAAGGAAGTTATAAACAATCATTCACTGGCTCAGTAAAGATATGCTGCATGTCTGTGTCTGTGCATATAAACAGCACAGACACCCTTGTTCAAGTGCTAGGTTTTGTGATATAAAGTAAAAAAAAAAATGTGAGGAAGATAAATAAGGTAACCTTTGTGCATGTGGGAAAATGTGTTATGGTTTTGTGAAATTAAGCTGGACTTTTTGTCATCACCAAAAAAGCACCAGACCCAACAGTAAAACATGCACGGTGGCAGCGTTGTGTTTCGGGCCTGTTTTTCTTCAAATTAAATTGGAGTAAGGTAGAGTGAATTATGAACAGTTCAAAATAGCAGTCAGCGTTAGCACAAAAATAAAAAATCCGACTAAATCAAGTGAACCCTGTTCGTGGTTAATCGCAGGTAACCTTTGTGCATGTGGGAAAATGTGTTATGGTCTTGTGAAATTAGGCTGGACTTTTTGTCATCACCAAAAGAGCACCACACCCAACAGTAAAACATGCATGGTGGCAGCGTTGTGTTTTGGGCCTGTTTTTCTTCAAATGAAATTGGAGTAAGGTAGAGTGAATTATGAACAGTTCAAAATAGCAGTCAGCGTTAGCACAAAAAAAAAATCCCACTAAAACAAGTGAACCCTTTTCGTGGTGAATCGCCATAAAGACACATTGATAGGGAGCACATAGTGTACACAAGTCCGGAACTGTGTTCATTTACAGTATTTTGAAAAAACCCGCTTCAGGCGGGCATTTCTTTTTTGTCACTGGTGGGAGCAGTTGTTTTACCCGCGAAGCAGCATAAACAGACGCTCCTTGTTTGACTAGCGTGTCGGCAATGCCCACGTGGCCCTCTTGCGCCACCAGATGGAGAGGGGTCAATCCATTCTGCGGACAATAAGAATTATGTGGTGAATACTACAACTGCCCTAACGGGTATGATTTAATATACGAGGCATCTGTGGTCCGTCTTATCTAACAGCCATTTATTCAGTCAGCTTGTAATCTGAATTCGAAGACTACCTTGTTTCCTAGATTTACGTTCGCTTGCTTGGAGATGAGTAGAGCCACAATGTCGGGCCGTCCCTCTTGTGAGGCCAAGTGCAGGGGCGTGATGCCTTGGAGGGACTCGGCATTGGGCGATGCCCCGTTCTGCAGCAGGCAACTGGCTACTTCCATCTGGTTCTGTTTGGCTGCTATATGGAGAGGGGTGTAACCATTCTGCAGAGAGACACGAGGAAGGACATTAAGGCAGGAGTGGACATTAGCTCACTGGTGGCTTTTTTTGGAGTGCACAAAGCAACCTCTGTGAACTAGCACTGACACTCAAAACAGCTGACAGCTCTAAAACTTTCATAGACACGATACAAAATCTTATACAGTCATCAGAAACGGTTGCAACGTGGCGACCAATAATGTCGTGTCCAAATACTTTTGTCCACACTGTTTATCTGGTTCTGTTTGGCTGCTATATGGAGAGGGGTGTAACCATTCTGCAGAGAGACACGAGGAAGGACATTAAGGCAGGAGTGGACATTAGCTCACTGGTGGCTTTTTTTGGAGTGCACAAAGCAACCTCTGTGAACTAGCACTGACACTCAAAACAGCTCACAGCTCTAAAACTTTCATAGATACGATACAAAATCTTATACAGTCATCAGAAATGGTTGCAACGTGGCGACCAATAATGTACATGTCATAGTCGTGTCCAAATACTTTTGTCCACACTGTGTGTTTGTGTGTGTTTGTCTGCCTGGCCCTTACCCGAGCGTTGCTATGTGCGGATCCTCCTTTGCTGACCAGGAGTTTAACAACATCTAGGTTGTTGTGGTGAACTGCCACATGCAGGGCTGTCAGACCATTCTGTTGAATATACACATAAATGTACACATTAAAAAAATGAGACATGCAGTAAATACATACGTACATACATGCGTACTTGCATTGGGATTGGCACCTCTCTCGAGAAGGAGCTCCGCTACGTCTACTTTTCCGTATTTAGAGGCCACGTGGAGGGGGGTGAAGCCTTTCTGCTTAAGGGAAAACCAAAAACAATAATGAAAATCATCTCAGTTGAAATGAGACAAATGTTTTTTTTCTAAAAATCAGTTTTTTTTTTTTCCCCAAATTTTGATTTTCCAACTTATTTGGCTCCGTTTCAACCTCACCTTAGTCATTTTGGTCTGCTGTGCTCCAGCGTCCAACAAAATGCGAATGGTGTGGATGTGTCCTTCCCGTGCGGCGATGTGCAAGGGAGTGTGCCCTGCCGTGGTGGACGAGTCAGGGTTGGCCTTGTGTTCAAGAAGCAGCTTGACCAGCTCCTTGTGTCCCATTCGAGCCGCACAGTGAAGGGGAGTTTGGTCGTCCTGGTAAACAGAAAACAATGGGGCAAGGATAAAGGAAAAACTCAATTTATTAGGACTACGCAGATCAAAATAAGACTGCGTGTACCTTCGCCCTAGCATCCACTTGTGCTGAGTTCTGCAACAAAAACTGGGCAACTTCACAGTGTCCTGCTCTGGAGGCCATGTGGAGGGGGGTCTCCACCTTCTGGGTAAATACAGTATCGTTCTTGAAATTACACAGCTGGGTCACTTGGCGCATGGCTTGCTTAGTGGACTTGTGCCGTTGGTACAAAGGAAGTTCTTACCACATTGGAAGCATTAGGTGAAGCCCCTCTCTGGAGCAGGTTCTTCACTATGTTCAGGTGACCCATGAAAGCTGCTACATGGAGAGGAGTGAGGCCAGACTGCACAAATGCAGAAGGAAATAGGAAGACGGCTCAAGGTCATGTTTGTTCAAAAGAATCCTACGCTACACAAATCTAGAGCAACGGCTCACCTCCGTGACGGCTTCGAGGGAAGCAGAGTGTTTGAGCAGCAAATCCATTGAGCGCATATGGTTCTTCTTGCATGCAATATGGAGTGGTGTGAATCCATTCTGGAGAGAGTCCACAAAAGCAGGAAAATACGGACATCTGTAGAGCTGCGTCTCAATAAGTTTCAATGCTATAGAAAAGTCGACATTTTGGAAATACCGTATTTTCCACACTAAAAGGCGCACTGGATTATGAGGCGCATATTCAATGAATGACCTTATTTTTTTCATACATTGGGCGCACGGCACTATAAGATGCAATCTACAATGCATCCACTAGACGGAGCTCCTCTCAAGGAAACACCAGCAGAACGATCAAATGTCAGTAAAACTTATTTAAAACTCATTCACTCCCAAAGATGTTTTTAAACGTCTTTTCAGACTTGGTCCAGAATTAGCTGGTACTGAATGAGTTAATAAAGCAGTGACACAGTTGATTTAACCAACAGCAAGTTATAACATTGACTCGTTAACGTTGAGCTCTCTTGCCGCTGCTCTATTTCCGTGTTCAACTGCGTAATCGATCGCCTTAAGTTTAAACTCTGCGTTGTCAGCATGTCTCGAGCAAGGAGCCATTTTGGGGTCGAAATATTCCCAGAATGACCATACACAAGGCACATCAGATTTTTAAGCGTGCTGTGAGCTTTTATTAAAATGGATGGCTTTTGCGGAAAATATGGTAATGCTTATTGTGTGGTTTATATCGTAACTAAAAGGATTTTTGCATTTTCTTTAGATCTCAAGTGTCACCCTTTTTGAGCTTGATGAACTAAACAACAATAACAACAACAAGTAAACGTTACCAGAGCTCGAGCATTGGCTTTGGCCCCCTTGTCCAGAAGAACTTTGGCCATGCGATGGTGACCACAGTGGGCCGCTACATGAAGAGGGGTTAAATGGTCCAGCGTGATGTCGTCGATCTCGGCGTTGTATTGGAGTAGCTGTCTAACGCAATCCATGTGATCCCCCTGAGCTGCCATGTGGATGGGGGACAGACCATTCTGGGATGAGAGGAAAAAATAGTGTGAGAAACGGCAATTGATTGTGAGCTTGACTGAGCTGAGGTTTTGATGAAGGTGATGAATGTAGAAATATCGTTAGCTCAGTAAAGCTGAATTTACTCAGATTATACCGAAAGACGCATGTTGGAAAATTAGCAGCACTGGATGAAAGAATCTCACTGCGGGCCTCATATAATAAACGGCACCTTGGTTTTAGCTTGGATGGGCGCACCGTGTTCCAGCAGGATCTCAATGATGCGAACGTGTCCATTTCTAGCTGCACAGTGAAGCGGAGTCAATTCATCCTGCACACACACAAGCAAAAAAAAAAAAAAAAAGGACATTGTGGGCATAAATGGATAAAAAGTCCTCAGTAGAAAAAGCAACTCAGCAGGGGGCGAAGACAGATGGGGGCCAATAAATGCTTGGAAAGTAATATGCAGGCATCGGTGATACAATGCCAGACTTGTGCAACAAACGCAACAGGAAGTAGCAGCTGATCAAAAAAAAAAAAAAAACATTACCTTTGTTTTGGCATCTATCTGGGCCCCTCTGTCCAGCAGGAGTCGGACCATCATCATATTGCCCCTCCTGGAGGCGATATGAAGTGGTGTGATGCCATTCTAGTGATAAGGAGATGAACAGTAAGTCATTTACACAAAGTAATAACCAACCATTCAATTAAAGTAATGGTCACAAATTCTAGCATCTAAAGACAAGGCGAAAAGGACGTGTATTTTTGCTTGCCACATGATAACTGAATCACAGCCGAGTCTGCTGACCTTCGGGGTGAAGTGAACGTTGGCTCCTCTGTTAAGCAGCAGCTGGGCTACGCTCATATTCTCATAGTGGGCTGCGATATGTAGAGGGGTGAAACCAGTCTAGAAAGAAATGGACATAAAAAGTGTGTGTGTGGGGGGGGGGGTGTATGTGCGTGCCAGAGGAAGAAAACAGTGAATCGAAAAGTTACCCAGTGTCCCCGAAAAATTATGTAATTTCATCACGGTTTTTGATCTGTTGAAATAGTGAAATAGTTCAGATCATCAAACCAATCGTAACCCCTGACAAAGACAAGCCAAGTTCATTCATTCATTTTCCGAACCGCTTCATCCTCACTAGGGTCGTGGGGGGTGCTGGAGCCTATCTCAGCTGTCTTCGGGCAGTAGGCGGGGGACACCCTGAACCAGATGCCAGCCAATCGCAGGGCACACAGAGATGAACAACCATCCGCGCTCACACTTACACCTAGGGACAATTTGGAGTGTTCAATCAGCCTGCCATGCATGTTTTTGGAATGTGGGAGGAAACCGGAGTACCCGGAGAAAACCCACGCAGGCCCGGGGAGAACATGCAAACTCCACACAGGGAGGCCGGAGCTGGAATTGAACCCGGTACCTCTGCACTGTGAAGTCAACGTGCTAACCACAAGCCCACAAGCTAAATTAATTCAGGATTTTATTTTCAAACTGGAAAAAAAATCCAAACTAATCCACAAAAGTAATTAATTGTTCCCTGAATTTAATAACCACCTATGGCAGGAATAATTTAAATCAAGCATTTGGAATGACAATTCAATTTTTCATGAATAACAAGGGGTCCAGGTCCTGAAGGAGCTAATCAGTCCAAGCTCATCACACTGCCAACACCATGTTTGACTGAGGGTCTTTTGATCAAATGCTGCATTACAGACCTCCCAAAACTTTGTCTTTTTGTCTTGTCAGTCCACAGAATAATGGAGAATGACATTTTTGCTGCATGTCTCTCTTATGGTTGAGTCATAAACTCAGGAGATATTATTATTAACAAAGCCCTGTAGTTCTTTGACATACTTCTGTGATCTTCTGTTACCACCTGGGTGAGTCGTCATTTTCAGGCTTGGAGTCATTTTGGTTGGCCAATAACTGCTGGCAAGAGTCACCACTGTTCCAGGTTTTCTCGATTTCTGGGTTGTCATGCTGACCGTGAACACCAGAGTTTTTAAAATGGCTTTGTAACCTTTACAGACAGATAATATTTCTCTTAATTTCTCATTTGTTCTTGAATTTTTGGAGGATGCTGGCATGATGTTTCTTTGAGAGACATTGTAGCCTACTTCACTTTGTCTGTTCGGTACTATTTAAGTGAATTGTTAGTTGACCAAATCTGATACTTAATCTTTTTTTCACACAGAGTCAGATAGGCCAGAAGTTTTTTTCACCATCATGAATAAAATTCTCATTCGGAAACTGTATTTCATACTTACCTGGGCTTGTGTGCGATTACAAATGGCTTGATGATACAAGAACATAAAAACAAGATTTTGAATTTTTTTGTGGAATAAGCAAAAAAAAAAAACGTCCGGGAGTGATTACCTTGCTGAGAACATCAGGATTCGGGTCGTTCTGCAGGAGCACAGCGGCGGTGCGCGTGTCGTCATTTCGGGCAGCGATGTGCAGTGCAGGGAGGCGGACCTTGCCTTTGGTGCCATAGTTAATGAGCAGTGCTACAACGTTTTCATGGCCCTGCTGCAGGGCCACCGCCAGAGGGGTGAAGCCGTCCTGATGACAAGAAAGCAAAATAGGATGCGTGAAGACAGAAGAGGAATAATTCATTTGAAATAAGGGGACGGGCGTTCTTTAGTTTGGTACTTGAGGTGGAATACAATCTTCGTGGCAGCTGTACTCATAAAACATGTACACCAGATGCTTTAGCCATATGTAAAGAACATTTTGTTTTGATCAAATCTGGAACACGCTGGTGTACGCTCACACCTACCTCAGTGGGCAGACTCTGATTGGCGCTGTTCTCAAGCAGGAACTTGACCACCTCGAGGTGATTTTCCTGTGCTGCCATGTAGAGAGGACTGAACCCTTTCTATATGAAGCATACACAGGAAAAAAATTTCTTAGGGGAAAACTTACCCCGCCCTGTCTGTGAAGATATTATATGTCACGAGAAGTCATATCTAATTAGCATGAACAAATGCATGACTTTGCATGTATGCCCTCACATTTTTTTGGTGTGTGTGTGTGTGTGTGTGTGTGTGTGTGTGTGTGTGAGACTCACATGTGACTGGGCGTTAACGTTTGCGCCATAGTTGACAAGCTCAGCCACCACTTTCTCCTGGCCCGCCAGCGCCGCGATATGGAGAGCAGTGTTGCCTTTCTGGAGGTCACACGGAGAAAAGAAAGCCATGTAAACGATACAGGCTATAATAATTGTGTACGCACACAAAACACAACCAAAATGCAGAGACACAGTTGGGCACTTCCACGGGTTGACTTGGGCCCTTCCATTACGTGCCAGTGTCATCGAGTTTTACTGTACCTTGGTGGTGGCTTCGAGTTCGATGCCCGAGTGAAGGAGCTCCAGGACCATTTTCACGTGACCCTCTTTCGAGGCCAGATGTAAGCCATTGAGACCGTTCTTTTCGGGCGAAAAAAAAAAAAAAGATGTATTTAATCTCTGATGGAAGGCCGAGAGTATTACAAATGTATCTGTTTCGCAAAATGTGTGGAGTGCCACTGTAATCATCCCGTTAATAATCAGGATTAATATAATCACGGACAGCATTAGTCTAAAGTCATACATCTCTTATGGCAACTTCATGAATTAATCAGCGGCGCTCTTTGAAGTCGCGGCACTAATACACGCTTTTACACGTTTATCCGTCTAAATCAGACGGTTGGCTGCAAAACAAGGTGCGTTTTTAAAAGCCGGAATGTGTGTTGGTGTGCACGGCGTGAAGACAAATCACACATTCAGCGGCTCGCGTCTGTTACGTTCCGATGATGACGCAACCAGATGAAAGAGTCCAAACTTAAAGGCAGAAGATTGAAAAGATGTTCGTGCGAAATACTGAATGATGCATGTACAGCACTTGACACAAAGATGAAGAATCCAGAAGTCTTGAATTTTTCATTCTCTTTTCGCTCTTTTTTTGATTAGTCCCTGTGAGGACAGCGCACATAGACTTTCCTCTCAGGATAATGTCACATTATGTGTTCCAATTAAATGATCCACTAAAAGACTTAAAGTCAAAGAAAGGTCTGTCCTCTGTCACGTAAAATGTATTCTTCAGTTTTTTTTTTTTTTCCATTCGGACTATTTCATAATCAGGACCTCATGACTGTGGGAAATTCTTGTACATTACTAAGTGTTATGAAACAGCTCCAGAAACCCGCCCCCAAACGAGTCTATCTCTTTACTTCTTAATCCATGCATCCAATTTTTCCAGCGCTTGTCTTCAAACCTAAAACCTCATCATATCAGATGTTGATGCTGAGCGTTTTCCCACCTGGCACGAGTTAATTCCACTTCTTGCTTGTTGGCCCAGATTTGCAGGTGATTCAAGTGTACTTTTGCAAGTCGGGTGGCTGATTGCAGATTGGCCCTTAAATCAGGTATCAACATACTCTGACCTATAATTCCTTCATCATACGAATATATATTGCACTTGACTTTTAATCCGAACTGCGGGGTTGATAATCTTTTAACTGAGAATGTTCCACTTCTCACAATGTTTTGGGGTTTTTGTTTGTTTTGGTTTTTTTTTATAGGCTTACTTGATTCGCTATATTGATGTCTAGTCCATTCTTGATGTGATCCAGAGCCTTGTCCAGGTTTCCTGAGCGAGCGGCGCGCAGGAAGCTGGTGGCTGCGTCAGCCTGCCAAGAAGACAGAGACTGTTAAAAACGTGTCAGCAACACACGCGAGCAAAACTTTCTGATCAGTGAAAAACAACCTGTTTGTAAAATGTTTTTAATTAGAAATAAAAAAAAATCCATCCATCCGTCCATTTTCTGAACCGCTTAATCCTCACAAGAGCCGCGGGAAGTACTGGAGCCTATCCCTTTTAAAAGCTTACAGTGGTGACAATTCAATCAAACATAAAGAAATTAATTTTTTTTTTTTCTACTAAATGTTCTGCTTTCTTTTGGTGCGGGCACCCGCAGCGGTTCCTCTTGTTGTCTGTTGTCTGTTTAAGGGGGAGGAAATTTCATCTGTGCTGTATGTTACACATACAGCACATTCGACAATAAAGTTGTACTTGATACTTGGTTGAACGCACATTGGCCACCAGGGGGCAGTATAAAATAGACGTTGATGTACATAGATGAATGAGACTGCCAGAAGTGCTCCAGAACATGCAAACTCCACAGAGGGAGGTCGGAGCTGGAATTGGTACCTCTGCATTGTAGGCATTGTAGTTCATCGCTAACCAATGCTAATGCGCTTGAAAAGTGAGGCACAAATATATTTTTTCACCAATCAAATGAGTTTCTGAATGTACGGCAGGAACCTACCGAATTCTTATAATAGTAGTTGTTCTTCACAGAGGATAAAGAACATAGTTCTACTGTAGACTTATTTTACATTGTTTTCAGTATGTTAAACTAGTTATTCTCAATAAAATGCCTTTTCTTCAAATACTTTGGTGGTTTTAACCAATTCATTTGATTTAAATGATTTATGGTGGTTAATATTGCTTTCACTTTTGTCGATTTCGGTTTGAGTCTGACTCTTTCAAAAAGATTAATGACAAAGAGTGAGTTTCCACTGTACATGTGTGGTCCACTGAAAAGTGGAAAGATGCTCCTTAAATCAGTGAAGTGGAGTTTATCAAGGATTCACGATGGTGACCAATTCGCTTTACATTTCTTGAGGGAAATGTGTTTGGAAACAGAACATCAAGTGTTCCACTTTTGACGTTCCACTGGACTACCAACGGCACAAACAGTCAAAATATCACACTTATTATACTGTGCCAAATTTGAACTTCTGCTCCATTTGAAGCTGAAAGTGCTCTATGAGGACAGAGATCAGAATTTCCAGGTCACAAACATTTGAAGCAGGACTATACAGGATGTAGGACAATGCTCTCCCAGATTATCAAAAGATTCTTACAAGGGAGTGCCGCCCACACAAGCGTGCCATGCAGGCAACGCTGAGCACGCGTTTTTGCCACAAGGCGCGCTGTCTGCTTGCCTGATCTCAGAGGAGAGAGAGAGTGTGCGTGCGTTGAGTCTTGCAGCGTGTTTGCATGACTACTCTCCTTTGCGTTCATTCACCAGCCAATACTGTGACACAGCTTCACCTGCCCAATGACAGGCTTCCAATGGCCTCGAGTGAAAACACTGCACAATATATCCTCGACCCTTTCCTTCATTCCTTTGAGCGGCATCGTTATGCGTCCGTCGGAGCTGTTGATTCAAAGGGTCTTTGATTAGAGTGAACCTCTCTCCCACATCTCTTATCTGCAAAGCACCGGGAGCGGAATCCACGTGCAGTTAGATTGCATCTTCAATCCAATAAGATCATTTGCTCCTCCCTCCTTTTCATGCACGACTCCAATTGAACCTCATTCAAAGCTTGTTCAACAAACACCCCTTTATCATTCCCATGATGCACTCTGATGAGGTTCCTGCACCTCCAAAAGTGGGAATTTCAACTCTCCTAACTAAATTACGCCATACCTGCATGTGCTTCATCTGATTTGTGGTGAAGTGAGAGCACAAGCCCAGACATCCATCCATCCGTCCATTTTCTGAACCGCTTAATCCTCACAAGAGCCGCGGGAAGTACTGGAGCCTATCCCAGCCATGTTCGGGTAGTAGGCGGGGGACACCCTGAACCGGTTGCCAGCCGATCGCAGGGCACACAGAGACGAACAAGCATCCGTGCTCACACTCACACCGAGGGACAATTTAGAGTGTTCAATCAGCCTGCCATGCATGTTTTTGGAATGTGGGAGGAAACCGGAGTACCCGGAGAAAACCCACACAGGCCCGGGGAGAACATGCAAACTCCACAGAGGGAGGTCGGAGCTGGAATTGGTACCTCTGCATTGTAGGCATTGTAGTTCATCGCTAACCAATGCTAATGCGCTTGAAAAGTGAGGCACAAATATATTTTTTCACCAATCAAATGAGTTTCTGAATGTACGGCAGGAACCTACCGAATTCTTACGACATTGCGCAAACTATAAAGGTGTGCTGTTCTATCCTCGAATTGCAATTAAGATCCCTGATATACAAAATGAATCCATAGACTCACCCGGTAGGATAAAATTAATCCAACATTTGATAGTGATTGTTCTCGGGGCATAAATGAAAGCGACAACACAGACTTTGTTTTTCGAGCCAGTGTCATGGCTGGGTTGCGTCAGGGAGAGCATTTGGTGTAAAAAGTGCGCAAAATATATCATGTGAGTCACTCACGGTGGCCACCGCTGACTGAAAAGGACTCCGCAGAAAGTCAAACAACAACACGCAGCAGAGACTAAGTGCGAGGATACGGAAACAAACTCCAAACTGCAGGCTACGCTAACATTTCTGTATAAACTCTATCCTCACGCAACAGTCACGATAGTAACATCCATTCACAAACCAAATGTCGTAACTAGACATTTCCATCCAGGAAAGTAGTACGGATCGATGCCAAGATGAAGTCATCCGCGATGAGAATTAAAAATCAATAGCTTGGCTCCACAGAGTGGCAGCTGCTCCAGCTTCAATGGATAGATGCTGATGGCTAGTAGCACTCCAGACTCTTTGTTGCAAGCCGGTTATCGTCATAAATAGACTACGTTTACATGCGGGAAAGATCTGTAATGTGCCCGCAACGGAACGGATTAAAATAGGATTAAAAACGGGATCCAGAGTGAAAAATTCCCCCATGTTGGTTATTGCCGTCTTGTTTATCTTCCTCTGAATGGGTTGTAACTGCAGTATATTCCTTGCATACTTGGCTAATAAATCTGATTCTGAAAACATCTCAATGTTTGAAAAAGAAAGCCATTTCCGACGTGGAATCTATTTTGCAGAGTGCCGAATTTCTCATTGCCTGTGAAACGAACAACGAGACAGATCAAAACGAGGATCTTCCTGTTGTCTCTTCACTGCCTGCGCGAAAGCGGAGCATCTGAAATATTTATAGCCCGTGTCAGGCCACTGCTTCAGCAAGCCATTACAATCAAATCATGCTTTTTCTGACTTTTATCATGCATCCCGACCCCTTTATATCAATTTTAAGACTGATTTGGGGAGTCAACTCAAAAAGCCTGACGATCATCGAATTCACATTGCAAAGGGCCCGCGCACACGCTAAAACACGCGCTCACATAAGAGTTAATATGAACACAACATGCATGATGACAGTTTGAGGTCACTTAAAATACTTTCATTGGTACAGTGAAACCTCAAACACCTGAAAGCCTTTAAGCCCATAAAATTTTTGGAAAAAAAAAAAGCTTAAATGTCATCTGTATTTTGAATATCGAACAATTACAACGTATGACATCAGCAAAAAGCTGTCAGGACTCCTTCCAAGACCTCATTATTGCTGGCATTGAAGGATTAACGTGATGATGCGTGGCTATTTTGCTTTTTTTTTTTTCCTTTGACCTTTTGCAACACTTTCTCAGAAAGACTGTTCTCTATGAAGGGAGTTCACACTCTTGTGAGTCAATGTACCGACGTTACCGTTGCCGTTTTTGTTTTTGTTTTTACACCAAAACTTACTAAGTGTTATGAAACAGCTCCAGAAACCCGCCCCCAAACGAGTCTATCTCTTTACTTCTTAATCCATGCATCCAATTTTTCCAGCGCTTGTCTTCAAACCTAAAACCTCATCATATTATAAGTTGATGTTGAGCGTTTTCCCACCTGGCACGAGTTAATTCCACTTCTTGCTTGTTGGCCCAGATTTGCAGGTGATTCAAGTGTACTTTTGCAAGTCGGGTGGCTGATTGCAGATTTTGGCCCTTAAATCAGGTATCAAAATACTCTGACCTATAATTCCTTCATCATATGAATATATATTGCACTTGACTTTTAATCCGAACTGCGGGGTTGATAATCTTTTAACTGAGAGTGTTCCACTTCTCACAATGTTTTTTTTTTTGTTGTTTTTTGTTTTTTTATAGGCTTACTTGATTCGCTATATTGATGTCTATTCCATTCTTGATGTGATCCAGAGCTTTGTCCAGGTTGCCTGAGCGAGCGGCGCGCAGGAAGCTGGTGGCTGCGTCAGCCTGCCAAGAAGATAGAGACTGTTAAAAACGAGTCAGCAACACACGCGAGCAAAACTTTCTGATCAGTGAAAAACAACCTGTTTGTAAAATGTTTTTAATTAGAAATAAAAAAAAAATAAAAATAGCTCTTCAATATTGTACTTTTTAAAAGCTTACAGTGGTGACAATTCAATCAAACATAAAGAAATTAATTTTTTTTTTTTCTACTAAATGTTCTGCTTTCTTTTGGTGCGGGCACCCGCAGCGGTTCCTCTTGTTGTCTGTTGTCTGTTTAAGGGGGAGGAAATTTCATCTGTGCTGTATGTTACACATACAGCACATTCGACAATAAAGTTGTACTTGATACTTGGTTGAACGCACATTGGCCACCAGGGGGCAGTATAAAATAGACGTTGATGTACATAGATGAATGAGACTGCCAGAAGTGCTCCATAGTAATAGTAGTTGTTCTTCACAGAGGATAAAGAACATAGTTCTACTGTAGACTTATTTTACATTGTTTTCAGTATGTTAAACTAGTTATTCTCAATAAAATGCCTTTTCTTCAAATACTTTGGTGGTTTTAACCAATTCATTTGATTTAAATGATTTATGGTGGTTAATATTGCTTTCACTTTTGTCGATTTCGGTTTGAGTCTGACTCTTTCAAAAAGATTAATGACAAAGAGTGAGTTTCCACTGTACATGTGTGGTCCACTGAAAAGTGGAAAGATGCTCCTTAAATCAGTGAAGTGGAGTTTATCAAGGATTCACGATGGTGACCAATTCGCTTTACATTTCTTGAGGGAAATGTGTTTGGAAACAGAACATCAAGTGTTCCACTTTTGACGTTCCACTGGACTACCAACGGCACAAACAGTCAAAATATCACACTTATTATCTGCAGGCTACGCTAACATTTCTGTATAAACTCTATCCTCACGCAACAGTCACGATAGTAACATCCATTCACAAACCAAATGTCGTAACTAGACATTTCCATCCAGGAAAGTAGTACGGATCGATGCCAAGATGAAGTCATCCGCGATGAGAATTAAAAATCAATAGCTTGGCTCCACAGAGTGGCAGCTGCTCCAGCTTCAATGGATAGATGCTGATGGCTAGTAGCACTCCAGACTCTTTGTTGCAAGCCGGTTATCGTCATAAATAGACTACGTTTACATGCGGGAAAGATCTGTAATGTGCCCGCAACGGAACGGATTAAAATAGGATTAAAAACGGGATCCAGAGTGAAAAATTCCCCCATGTTGGTTATTGCCGTCTTGTTTATCTTCCTCTGAATGGGTTGTAACTGCAGTATATTCCTTGCATACTTGGCTAATAAATCTGATTCTGAAAACATCTCAATGTTTGAAAAAGAAAGCCATTTCCGACGTGGAATCTATTTTGCAGAGTGCCGAATTTCTCATTGCCTGTGAAACGAACAACGAGACAGATCAAAACGAGGATCTTCCTGTTGTCTCTTCACTGCCTGCGCGAAAGCGGAGCATCTGAAATATTTATAGCCCGTGTCAGGCCACTGCTTCAGCAAGCCATTACAATCAAATCATGCTTTTTCTGACTTTTATCATGCATCCCGACCCCTTTATATCAATTTTAAGACTGATTTGGGGAGTCAACTCAAAAAGCCTGACGATCATCGAATTCACATTGCAAAGGGCCCGCGCACACGCTAAAACACGCGCTCACATAAGAGTTAATATGAACACAACATGCATGATGACAGTTTGAGGTCACTTAAAATACTTTCATTGGTACAGTGAAACCTCAAACACCTGAAAGCCTTTAAGCCCATAAAATTTTTGGAAAAAAAAAAAGCTTAAATGTCATCTGTATTTTGAATATCGAACAATTACAACGTATGACATCAGCAAAAAGCTGTCAGGACTCCTTCCAAGACCTCATTATTGCTGGCATTGAAGGATTAACGTGATGATGCGTGGCTATTTTGCTTTTTTTTTTTTCCTTTGACCTTTTGCAACACTTTCTCAGAAAGACTGTTCTCTATGAAGGGAGTTCACACTCTTGTGAGTCAATGTACCGACGTTACCGTTGCCGTTTTTGTTTTTGTTTTTACACCAAAACAATGGTCAACTAGCAATACAAGCCAAATTGTATTTGAAAGGTGCATTGTCTTTCCCTTCAGATTGATTTCTTGACTGACTGGACCGTATACATGATAGCATTATGTATACGGTCCAGTCAGTCATCTAGATACCTGTATACCTGTATCTAGATACCTGTATTATGATAAGACAGGTATCCATTTCTTTGAATTTCAGTTAAAGAAATATTTGATCAGTTAAGAAGTCTGCATCTCTACAAAACAAAAGTTAAACATGATTTTGGACTTTTTTTTCAGGAGCTCTTTCAGAGAATTCTGGGTCTTCATTCCCTAACATGCTCTCACCCTGGCTTAATGAAATCTCTGTGCTGATGGTTGATAGTTCGACGCTCTGCCCAGCTTCTTATTGACTGCATCTATAGATTTCCAGATGACCACACATTATGGTCACCAGCGAGACATATTCTTCATCAATAAGCAGCAAAGTACATGTGGTCTCTTCTGAGCCAAGTTTCACACGATATTTAAAAATCCTCTCTGTTGACTTGCAAGAAAAAAAAGAAGAAAAAAAAAAAACACGCGGCACCACAATTTGCCCTGCTGTCAACAGGCAGTCACGGGCGCTGACATATGCTACGCACAGCAGGATGTGAAGTCACTGCGCTGCTTTCAGCGTGGCGAGAATACAGCACAGGCAAAATGACATCACTGGGCTTCCATGAAGGAATGGAAACCCTTCCACGTACGCATAATTTACAAAGCAACAATCGACGATTGGGGTTTTGAGTTTCGATGGGGTTCTTGAAAGCCACAAGCAGAGCCCCCTGGAAGCACACCCGAGTCCCCGTGAAGATCACACGACAATTCAATAAACACATGGAAGTCTTCGATTACTTGCATCTGTTTTTAGTACATACCGGTAGCATGAATGAACCCTAAAAAAAAAAAAATCACATTGAGGCGTGTGTTTGTGTCTTTTCAGAAGTAGTAGTTTCGAGCCCGCCCCACTGAGGCTTGGCAGGTCATCGGTTCATCACATGGCGGACGAGGAGTCCCATCAGTAAGCAACATGTTGAGACATTTAAGGCTCAGGATGGGTTAATGTGGGATGAGGGAAGATTGGTGATCCTGAACAAATGGACGATGAATGAAGAGACAAGATACAAGACAAAAGAAACACAACAAAAAAACTTGAATTTTCTACAGTGTCAACACTAATGTTTCAGGAAGCTGAAGCCTATTCTAGATTTGGGACGAAAACAATGACAACGCTAGAGTGGTCGCCAGTCAATCACAGGGCGTCTACTGTAGAAAAAAAACAATCACACTCACATTCATAACATCACCGCTGAGTGGCAACTGAACCCCATGCTGCGTGCACACAAGTCAGGCGAGTGAACTACGACACCAAAAAAAGTGTCGAATCTTGTCTTGGTGGTAAGAAAAACAATCGCAAGTATGAAGAATGAGCAAATAACCTTGACATGTCACCTCAAGAGACTAATTGCACCGAATCCCACTGCTAGCTCCGATGGATTTCTCGAGGTGACAACAGCTCCCTGAGGTCCGTGCGATTTAGCACTCGGCAATAATCGCAAGGGATGTTTCAGCCCACAACGAGCCATTTATCCATGGGACAAACATTTCCAAGTGTGATATGAAGTCCAGGAAGAGTTAGAGCAAAAATAATAATGTAAAGCAGAATACCCAATTTTCAGATGACTTGATCTTGGCCACACAAACATGCACAAATATTTAAAAGACATACAGAAAAGTGATCATCCCAAAAGAGAGGCCCTTGCTTAATTTTCAGACTGACTAAAATCGATGATCAAGCACCAAACCGGCAATGGGGAAGCTAAAAAAATATAAGCCAGACAAGCTGACATATTACATTACCAGGAAGCCGCACTTCATTCAGAGGGACACCAATCAACCTCATCACTCAAATGCCTCTGATTCTTGTTGACTATACTCAACGCGTGACATTGAGATACGCAACTATGCACACCACATCCAAAAGCTGTCTCCATCCATTTTCTAAACCGGCCATCTTGTTCAGAGTCGCAAGTGAGCTACAATCTATCCTAGCTGACTTTGGGCAAAAGTCAAATTGTCATGATCCTGTACTGTTTGGTTTGTTTTTTTTTAGTCTCCAGCTGGAGGATGGGCGTTCCCTCACGAGTCGCACCTGTTCCTGAATCCGGCCTCGTTACTTCTCTCCTTCAGAAACCACGCTGACAATCGGATGTCGGATTATTAAGCCTTGCTCACGACTACGTCCTCAAGTGCTTCATATCTCTAGACATTCTCTGTATTTTTGCCTCATAGCCTTTGCTTAGTTTTTCGCAGTATTTTTGTCCTGTAAGTATTCTTGTTATGCATTCGTCCAGCGTCCTTCATTGTACTTTGTCAGTGTCGCATTTTTGTATTTAAATATATAAAAATATGTTTGTCCTCTTATCTCTGTCTACACTTGTGGAATCCTCAATGTGTCCGGAATCCTTCCGGACATATGACACAAATTACACCTTGGATGGGTCCTCAGTCAAATTCTCACCATCACAGAGTGAGGACTGAGGAAGTAGCCGTGCTTGCACCAAAGTCAGCGGACCACTCACTACGCCATCATTGAACAAAAAAACCAAGCATACACACCATATATTTTGCCGTGTTTAATGATGCCGGGGAAGTTAGTAGGAATAGCACGTACAAGGCATCTGCATCAGGCATAAAAAAATGTGGACTTCATAGACACTATTGCTCACACGCTGATCTTCCAGATGGAAGTGAGGAATGCGATTAGGCTGCGGAGACATGCTCCTGTTGCACTGCTAACCATGTCTACCGGCTGCACTTGCAAACTGGGACACAGCTTGTGGAAATAGAGCCCCTCAAAACACATTCGAAAGGCATTGACATAAAATTGGTGCAG